GTCATCGCGATCACTAAATCCTGGGACCGGTGACGACGAAAGAAAACACAAAATTATCTGCTTTGATAATCACCTAGAAGTATAGACCATTGCAATGGACCACTCAGATTTGCACACTGCACACAGAAATATATGGCACTTCTTAGCCCTGGCAGCAAAGTAAATGACCTCCTCATAGAGAAAATGGCTGTATGGACAATATAATGTGGGTGAGTAAACCTCAAGGATTTCAACTAATCACCCATTTGGGAAACCTCACGGTGAAATTATCAAGTAGTCCGTCCAACTACATGCTGATGCCAACTAGATACCCTGCAGGAATCTAGAAAACCTCTCGGCTGTAGCACTGCATGCAGCCACAAATCATAAAATAGGGTGGGACAAGGTGACACCATCGAAACCTAATGTGGTGGGATGAGTGGGAAGAGACTGATGATGCAAGCTTCATTTACCGAGTCATCTAGGAATACGTGCAATGCGGATAATTCAGCAACCCTCCCGGTCGTCTGGGAAATTCCACTACTTGTATATTACGTGCGAAGTAAGGAATAACACTGTGTTAATCGAGATTCGGAGTTCTGTAGGTGCAATAGTAAAATAATTGTGAACAATCACTTGTGTTAGGACAGTCGTCCGACAAATAATATTGTCTCACTGTGTGACTCACCAAGCAGATTAATTAATATTGCGTTGCATACCACTATACTGCCATAATACCCAGGTCTTACACACACATATACATATATATAGATTATTCAGGTAAAAGGTACGCGATAAATCAGAGTGAATTTGCAGGGTTTCTATTTCATGGAATCAACTAATGATTGACTTCTGTGAGCTGCAGTGGTAGATCTAAATGGATTGACCACCCCATAACAGAAACAACACACTGCCAAAATTAGCTGGAAGCTATAAACACGGCACTCCAACCCAGCCAACTGAAACCATTAAAAACCACAGAAACCGAAGACACCTAAGGCCAGTCGGTAAGCATTAGACTAGTATAAGCCGACCTCAGACCCTAAGGAGGCAGCAAGATGAGGTCACAGTAAGTCGCTATGCCTCAGTGATACCACAGAAGTGTAACAATTAGGATGACAACCGGTGTCATCCAAGTGTCCTAACTAAGCCAGAAGTAAAAATTTACAACAGGCCAGTTCCACCGGAATCTGCCAACTGGTCCCCACAATAAATCCTCCACAAACAGCATAAACCATCCCAAAAGACGGAGAGGTTGCCTATATAGCAATGTGAATCACTGGAGAAGAAAAAAGCTTAACTTAGAAATACACAGTCACACTCACACCTTAAAGCAATAATCCTGTGCGAAACATAGCTACTTCCCACTATAGCTGACGACAAAATCAACTTAAGTGATACGGTTCTGGGCAGGCGGGACAGGGATAAAAAGGGAGGGAGTTCAGCTGCCATATGCGTCGACATGCAGCTTAGATGCGTCCGTGCAAGGGACTCAGCACTTACTGAACTCCATGACTCCATTTGGCGCAATTTAACAATAGGCCACACATATGAACCACCCTTCTGTGTAGCAGAACACGGCCAGCTGCTACTCAGCATCGTCACGGGGATTCGAAACTCGGGATGTGAACAGATAATTAGGGCTGGGGACTTCAGTACTTCATTTTTAAACCTTCAGTTGGTGTGTGTTCAAGGAAAATTCGATTGAAATTTACTGCAAACCATTAAAAATGCATGATTAACCGAAAACGTTGGAGATAACGCTAGTTGACGCTCCAGTGGTACGAAATCACAACTGGATTGTATCGTAACTTGTGACTAGTTGCCCGTAGAAAACGTCCAGATAATGACCCTTCTAAGTAGAAGTGACCGTGTGGCCGCAGTGTTCGATGTGGTTCTTTTCGAGCGTTTTCAGTAGGACGCTACGTGACTCTGTCTGTGCTACAGCAAAGCCGACCATGCTGAAATACGAAGACTTTAGTCTGATAAAGAAATGCCCATAGAACGGGCTTAGTTATCCACGTACGAGCACTCGGAAGTGATAAACGATTTTATTCACGCAGCAAAATCGGAAACTATTCTTCTAGTTACAACGAAGCCGAAGAAAAAGTCCTCATGACTGAAGAGAGGTACGAAACGTATTCCGCAAACAAAGCGAAAGGTTTGGTGTACTTGGCGAGTATCCAAGACTTAGACTGACCATTGTGTATATCCGGAACTCAGAAATAGGTGGAACACAAGCGTCAGGAGTGATAGTAGGTCATCTCAAGCAAACCTTGCCGAGAAACTCGCGGCGAGCTTAAGAAGCCTGTACCAGTTCACGTCGGAGGCCTGCGCCTTAGTAGGTCCAGACGGCCAATATCTCTTCAGTCTGGAAATGGCTGAAACATTCAATTTAGCCTTTGCAAAGCAGTTAAACAGCAATGTAGGCATTACCGTTACCAACCAAAAGGGAAGCACTACTATTTCACCGGAGAAAAGCTTAGTGGCTACTCTCGGCAATATTACTTTAAAGTCCCCAGGTTGTGACGATATCAGGCCATCTAATCTGAAACAGAGCGCCGAAGCTCTGTGTAGGCCCTTATGCAATTTGCTCCAGCAGTCGACGGATTCGGGTAAACTGCCAAGGGAGTGGAAAAGAGCCATCCTTTCTCCTATCTTCACGGGTGTGGGTCTGTAAAACGTCATGAATAACAGACCACAGGCGCCCAGTGGTATCAAAAATGCTGAAACGTGTGATTCGTGATAGAGAAGATTTGTAGCTCAGGTGGATGATTGTGATGCGATTGTGTTCTCTGAGCTGGATAGTTAATTTGCGAAGCCCTCAACACCCTACTAGGTGACATCTTCAGCGCATACTGCAATTTGAAGTGAGCTTTAAGATTTCTCCACGAGTTTAATCATCTCTCCTAGTGGCCTTGGACGTGATGGGTTGTTTTTGTGTGTTTTCACACCTTCTAGGTTACTTGTATTGTCACTCATTGTTTCTTTGACTTGAACTTTGACCCTTTGTGTGTGAGGTTTTTTTCTTATCGGTTGATAAATTTTGTCTATCTCGATGTGTCTATTGATTGATGATTAACTGGAATAGCAGGCAAGCTTCTAAAGATTCTCTAGCATTCTTGTTGTTTCCTGTCTAATATTTGAACGTTGTCTCAGTCGAATTAATGTCCGTGGTTTTCTGTATGTAGTGATATGAGGGAGTGGATATCATGTCTTTTGACAGCTAGCTTATGTTCGTGGATACGAAGACGAAGGGGACGTCCACTTTGGCCAATGTAGTGTTTTTCGCAGTTGATACAATCTATTTTGTAGATGATGTTGGTTTTATCTTCCTTCGCTGATGAGTCTTTTGGTTGACATAGAATTGAGTGAAGTAACTTTGTTGGTTTGCGTACGACGTCAATTCCCAAAGGTTTGAAGAGTCTTGTAGTGATTTCTGAGATGTACTTTATATATGGTAAAGCGATTTTCCCGGAGTAGTTCGTCAAGAGCAGTGTCTCAGGATTCTATCATAGGACCATTGAAGTTTTTGACTCTTACCAGTGACGTGCCATGTCGTCTAAACTGCCCGGCTATTCTTCGCACCGATTATTCAAAGACTTGGAGAGCAATAAAGTGTATGTCGTACTCTAGCACATGTTAATCACCTCTCTTCTTACCTTCCATTAACGCAACATTTCGTAATTCCCGCATGACTTTAACTGACTATAAGTATATTATAGACTATAAATTAGACTTGAACCAGTATATTGTAATCTATTCTAACAAAGTTTCTAAAGGTTTTTTTCCATTTTTCCAATTTTTGATGTCAAAAAACGGTGTTCCATTTCAAATTGTACTTGTCGAATATGATCATGCCTGTACAAACGGTATGTTAATCATGTAAATGTTTAATTTATGTGAAATATATATATTATTATATTATTATTAAGGCTCAGGCTACAGACAGACCTGAAAGTCCTGGAAGACTGGACCCTGGCCAGTGGAGTGGCTTTCAACCTGAAAAATCAAAGTAGTGCACCTACGCATCTTTAGGTAGCAGAATGTAAGTTACTCCCTGTGTAACGATGACTTGTTCAATGTGACGTCACAGCGTACCTTAGGTCTAGTTCTAACGGAAATAATGGACACAAACGTGAATTACATGGGTGATGTAGCGAGGACATATGCAGTTATACACTTCACGCATGGAGAGTTCGGTGCGCTCACTCCTGGGCTTTTTCTAAAGTTACACAGAATATACGTAATACGCACCTTGAAATGCTCTCACTTTACTCAAAGGGGATGCCGGCGGTTTAGAAGCGGTCAGAATATGGTTGAAAAAAGGGGTGATGGGTCTCCGAAATAAGAGATGTGATGAAAAGCTGAAAAAATTACGTCTTTTCGAAATGAGTTACCATCAGATTACGGGGGACCCAGTTATTGTCTGTAAGATTACAAGTGACCAAAATTACCCAAACTAAGGTATTACACGATTGAGTAAGTATAGACTTCCACTTGGCAATTGGCGAAGATAGTGCATCAGCGAGCTAAGGCTGGAGTGAGCTCCCATTTATTTTCCCTAGAACTCGTTACCACCAGATGCGGCTACTACACCGTCCATGGAAGGCTTGGAGAGAAAGCTGGACAGGTGAAAGGATGAATTCCATTCGCAGCAGCGATACGGTTTTAACACACCGCATACTACAAACCATATTTAGCCAGTTCCAGCATCACTCTCTTGCAGTCAACCAGAGCTACGATAGTCCAGTTGCACTACTCAGAATCGTAACGAAGATCGAGAACTATTACCTTGTAACCAACAAGCGGGCACAAAGAAATCAATTCGGTTTACACTAGACCGTAAAAAAACGATATTAGATATTGAAACTGTCCCCTAATTTGTAACTAGGAAAAGTTCATTGAGTCGCTGATGACTTGATGAATCGTTTTTCTGGAAGAAGAGAATAGAATGTAGACTTGGAGCCCTGTTCATAAAATAAAACGCTTCAAGCCGAAACTAAATCATATTGGATGTTGGAAGATAAGGCGCGCATTATAATCGTAGACCAGTTGGCGCGATGGTGAGTTGGCTTATTTACCTAATTAGAAATTCAGGTTTTATTGGCTGCTTCTATTTGTACTCGGGATGGGAAAGGTATGTTTATGAGGTCTCATTATGTTAAATTCCGCAGCTTTGGTATCTCGACAGTTCGTCGAAATGACAAAGGCGAGAATAGAAGGGTTGATCGCTACTTTCCCAAAACTCCTTGGCACGGGTTAGTCCACTGACTTATTCTGTATTTGTTTTAAATATTTGCTTTCCGATGTTTTTTGCAATTGCATGCAAAATAATTCATTTTGCAGGATAAGGGAAAACACTCATCAAACACTAATCCCTAGTTTTAATAAACGTCAGAAATAAAAGTATTATGTTACACACTCTATTAGGAATTCACTGCTTTCGTTCTGAAGAAGTTAGTTGTACCTTGGATCTCTCAAGACTTGGGTTGCAGGTCATATGGTAGCACAATCTGCAATATTCAGTTGCAAGAATATTTAAGAATTAATTATGCTCTCGTCATCAAGTGCTTAAGGCAGAGTAGAGTTTGAGAAAAACGGGTTCCACCACTTTCTACTCACAGCGTGACAGACAGTTTATTTCCCTCCGGACGATTAACTGCGTAAGGTTTCGCTGAGACGCGCTTTGGTGTATTGGTTTGGGCGTCCTATTTCCAACCTCTTTATCAAGTGTCGGAATTCAGTGAAGGTAAAATGTATGGATAACCGATTAATTGGTGTTATTAGAACATAAGTATCTAGGGGGAACCTGATAGGATATTTGGCATATTAAAATGATTGGAATTTCAAGGTAGATTAAAGAACAGAATCCGAAATATACACGGATCTCAAAACACTATGATCTACATTCACCCTTCTAACAAACTTTCGAGTTATATTGCTTCTTAATTGTAGTTATTCTCTCAGGGTAAATGGTAGGATCTGTGGGTGTGGCTGCTGTGGTTGTATTTCTCCCCGAACTCTACCTGACCTCTTATGTTTTGGGTATTTGCATAGTATTGTCTTCCCTCCTATAAGAGGTATGGGCTGTAGTAAAGCACATTTAAGCGTAAATAGTTGTTGGGAGATGTTTTCATTAATTCGAGTAGTATCGTGCTTCAATGAGGCTCTTAGTACGTTTCCTAGTTCTCGCGAAACCAACCTGTGTGTTCAGGTAATGGTCTCTGAAGCACCAGTGTCTTTGACGCGGAGAGGTACTGATATAATTTATCTCTATCCTCCCACTACTGAAGAACTTTTTCATGTTTGTGAACTCTTCATTAGGTATACTTGGTAGTTGACATATGTTTGTTTGGAACCAGAAGTACAATGAAGTTGATCTTTTAGTGTTTTGAGATATTTCAAAGAAAAAATCTTGTACATCCTACTAGTCAAGACTTTCTGAGCATCTAAATCCCCCTAAATCATACGAGCTGTATTTTTCATCGCATTTCGAATTTGAATATCTATTTAGGTTGTTAATTGGTAATAAATTTTGTCTTATTGAAGTACCCATAAGGACATTAGAAAGAAGAGAACACGAAGTTCAGCAAAGATATCTTTTTTAAGGCTCTTGTAATATATATTCACACCTCCTAACTTCCATTTCAAGTTAAAATTATTATTTCAGTTTTGTTTTCATGCTCATTTTCTATACACTTGTAATTCGCTATAATTCCGTGTAATTTTTGTTTCTAAGCCTCTCGTAAACCATATCTAGTTGAAAATAATTATCACCTTTTATTCGCCTTCGTAATTATGTAGAATCAAACAAGAATTGTATCCATGTACAATTATGTATTTAAATGTGATTGTACAGCTGCTTTTGAAAATGAAATCGCCGAAAACATCAACATCTTTGCTGAACTTCATGTTCTCCTCTTTTTATTGAAGTACCTCAGTATACCGAATAAATTCAACGAGGTAACCAGGTTGAAGCTATAAAATCACATGATGCCTACTCAATAAGTACATTTTTGAATTCTACTGTACCTCTTATATGATTCTGCTCGTAAAGTGGGATTAATGATAACAATGAGTTAATCAAGCCATAATACTCAATATCATTCAGCAGCGATGTTGTACTACTGATTGAATTTTCAAGGTAGGACTTCTGACAGAAGTTCAACAATTCAGGTTGTCACACTCCATGTAGCACAATTAGGTAGAGAGAAAAACATTTCGAGCGACTGTAATAAACGAAAATTTACAGGAGGTAAGATAACTATGTGGGAGCGCCATTCAGAGCGAGTTTTAGTCACATCACTGACAATCTCCAACCATTAGTTCTTATCTCCTCGACGTTCCCAACAAGGCATGTTTTATTAAGACCTATGTGACTATTACACCCCAACGTTTGATAAGTGAAACAGAGATCATATCAGTGATCTAGTTAAAATATCGATTTCTTAACCACAACTCAATTTTTTAGTTCGGTTATCCTGGTGTAAAGGGTTATCTGTATGAAACTATTTAAAGGAGTAGAATTTCAAAATGACGTCATCTAAAAAAAAACAGTTTATTTGGATCATTTGCACTATTTAATATTGTATTTGTTATGGTATCTTTGCATCTTTAGGCAAGCAGCATACCTTTGTTGAAACAGAATCCGTACGGTATGTCTATCAACCATTGGAGAAATTGTATGTTCTCTTGATAACTACAAAAGCAAGTAATATACTTGAAGATTTGGAGACGTTACGGCTTTTTGCAAGAGTGGTACGTTGGATATTTATATATTTATATGTGTAGATAATTTATTGCTTATATTTGATTGTCTCTCCAATAAGCTAGTACTCTTTATTTAATGTATTATTTAGATACCAGAATATGGTTGTGGTACAGATGAAAGTGATATTATTGCACACGCTTTTCAACTTATATTCGCCTTTGACGAGATCATAGCATTGGGCTATAGAGAGGATGTTAATCTCTCCCAGATACGTACTTATACAGAAATGGATTCACATGATGAACGTGTTTTCCGTGCTGTTCAAGAGGTATGTTCGGTGTTTAAACAATGTAGAATTTGTTTTTAGCATATTTAACCTCATTTAGCTTTCTGCCTAAATCTGTTTCTATATCGATTTAAGTGGTTAGAAACCTGTTACACATATCTAGGCATAGCCTTTCTTGGCAAGTTATGTTAGCTGACATACGATTAGCTCGCACCAGCAAGTACAAAAACTCAACCATACTCTACCTAGCTCGTGTTCTGTGCGATGAAGAAAGCATTAGGCGTGACACCTATAATTCATTAAATAGTCAGTAGTACAACTGGATCTCGTCTTTCCAACTCACATCATTTATAGGTACAACATTTTCTTTCTTTCTTTTCCTTTTCTCTCTCTCTTTTTCCGTTATGTGCTGCTTTGTTTCTTTCTCTCGCTAACACCAGTAAATATGACAGCTCCCACTTTTCTAACACCAAACACTGTTTCAGCTTTTCCTTTGCTACCGATATGCCAATGTGTTCTTGTAATAATGAACTGTGATTTCCTTAATCTATGTAGAATTTTATTTATTGATAATGTACTAACTGGATGCAATACTGTGGTAAAAATGCTGAGAATTCCATTCTGTATCACATGTACTGTTTTAGAATGAAGCATATTATTATTATTATTATTATTATTATTATTATTATTATTATTATTAGACTTGGTATAATCGAGAGTTGAAGTCAATTGATGAAGTCTTTGACTATAGGTTTTGGACAGCTTCACAGGAAGGTCTAGATTGCTTCCTCGGGGTCTTCAAGATGCTACGAACCAATAGCTTGAGACTGCTGGTGATAGGACTCAAAATCTTGTTCTGAATAGACCGGCTACATCCATTCTTTGAAATCTCTCATATCAGCTAAATCCTCATAGTTTTCCACGTTAATATTCTTTCCCCTGTACGTTTCTACTCATTATAAACCGTTTGAATTTTTCTTTTCTCTTTATATGTACTACTTGAAATGTGACAATTTTGACTGCTACATTTCTGCACGAAGTTCTCTGTCGAAACTCATATTGCATAAAAAATGATTTGACAAGTAGAGGTGTGTGTGATCAGTTTCTTTGAAATGTTACAGGATTTCATCATAAGTCAGACACTGGTTAGAGAACCGTTGGAAATCCAGCTGGGAGTACTAGACAGCTGTTTCGTCCTAGCAGTACACACCTACCACCAGGGTTCGAACCCAGAACTTTTCGACTATATGGCTAGTGAGCTCTTAGACCATTCGGCCACTGGGACCCGATCCATGAATTCCAACTTCTGCCAATTCACGTTACAGCGCGACTGGCACTAGTCAATGTCATCTCTGACGAGTATTTGTCTTCACACCCCAACCTCATGGGAAGTCTCAACCAGTGGGGTACAGCAGGACGAAGCAGCTATCCAGTACTCTCAGCTGGTTTTCCAGTGGTTTTCTAACCTCTGTCAACTCATGATTAGATCCTGTACCCAGTCAGATCCCTGTAAACCAACATTTGAATGTTTGAAATGTGTTGCGCAAATACATCCCAACACTTGTCTAATAAACTCCGTCTCCTATTGACTATTCAAATTTTGATTGGACACTAGTAACTAGTGTGACGTGTGTAGTCCTTTCTTTGGTGCTGATGGAATTCTATCAGTCAGGTTTGCAATGCGGCCACACAATGCTAGGTGGTTCACCATCACGGCGCACATTGATTTGATGGTATTAGATGGTTGGAGGCAGTCTGCAGGAAGCCATGGCTGCACCTAGGTTTCGTGCTAGTTGGCGCTTGTCAGTAAGGTGTATCTGAAACCTTGCCGTATTCATATAAAATGTGCTTGCTTTAGTATTTTATGATAAGTTTCGTAGTGAGTTGAGTTCTTTCTTCGTAATGAGTCAAGTCCACACGAATCAACTATTTCACTCATGGAATGTTGGCTGAGAATAGCTCAGTGGTAACGTCTCTGACTGCGGCACTGGGTGACGCGGGTTCAAATCTCAGAAGGGACATGAGTTCCTTCAAGGTTGCAGGCACGCCTTGCTGATGAGTGCCGACAAGCACGAAACCTAGGTCCAAGTCTTCCTGTGGCCGATCGCCTTCAACTGTCTAATAAGTATTCAAATTTTTCTAACGTATTTGAATCGTACAGTAATTTGTGGTGTCTTATGTTTTAGTAAACAAACTGTTGGAGAATTGGTGATTGGTGTCCAGCAAGTGGCCATCAGAGAAGTTTTAGGATAGTAAAATACAGATCTTTTAGTTGGGCTGACATGATTTACTGATGTGGAGACTGAGGTCTTAGCACTTAAGGTAATGCAAATCACTGCTTCCTAACATTCTTAAATGTTACCATGGAAACCTGGGTTAGATCCGTTATTCTCACCTGTATTTATATGCCTTTCAGCGCAGCATTTTAAATTTTCTACACTTCTGGATTAGTTCTGGTATTAACGTGCGCCTTATTTTTTATTAGGCTGTTTTGACTTCAGAAATACTCTCACCAGTTAGGCACTACCTTTAAACTTTGTGCAGAGCAGTGATTAATCAATTCATTTCGAATGTTGTAATTCATGCTTCCGTATGAATTCATTATCACTACTTTTATTATTTTTCAGAACAAGGAACGCGATGCTAAAGAGCATATGAAACAACGTGCACGTGAACTACAACAAGCCCGAATGGAAGCTGGTAAACGAACCGGAATGAATCTTTCCGGCTTCTCAAATTATCGAGGTGGAATGTCAATGGGTAGTGGTCTAGCCAATGATCTGAGTAAGTCCCCAGTATTTGTAGTTCATTTATTCGACACTTCTAATTATTGTTTTATCCCCCCTCTCTCTCATTCAAATCAGTTTCAATGTTAAATTGTAGTATTATTTATAGTGACAATCTTTCGTGCTAAAGTTCCTTGTTGTGAATATCCTTTCCACTCGACCAGCTGTTCCTTAGTATCAAGCGAAGTGACTAGCTGTTGATAGGAAGTCTGCAGTAGGCTGTTGGAAATGCTTTTTGTGTGACACACGCGCGCCAAGACTCTGAACCGTATAGAAGTATTCATTTGAAATAAGTGTTGAAGATCCGAATCTTGTTCTTTTGTGCCGATTGCATCAGAGTTCCACACTGATTTCAGAGTAGTGGTAGTATTGCATTCCATTGCTTTGTGTTCATATGAAGTGTATTCACTTTAATACTTCATGGTAAGCTTCGTAATCAGCTGAGATCTTTCTTCAATATAAATCAAATCTTGAAAAAGAGAAGACATTCAACGAAGAGACTTTTCGCTGGCGAATTCATTCACATAGCTGTGCAATCGCATTTATACATATGATTATTGTTGTGTGTGTGTATGTGTGTGTAGATGATGTCTGTCAAGTTTAGATAATTGATCAGGTAATACAAGAATGATCTAATATAGAAACAAGGTTAATCAGACAGCAACTAAAGTAGGACTGAGTTAGTAAGTTAGATGACGTAATACAATTGACTAAAATATTTCAACTTAGGTCAGGATAGCAGCAGAGGTAATTACGGGTAGAGACTAATTAGAAGTGGAGTAGAGAATAATGCTATTTAAATCAGGACTTAAATTGAGCAAATAAATTGGATGACGTAACTTAAATGACTATAAATTGAGCGTTGGTCAAGTCAGTAACAGTGGTAATGACGTGTAGAAGTTAAATCGGGTGGAGGTAGAGAACAGGAAGTTGAAAATGTAAAATATTACAATTGAAAGCACAAATTAATACTAATGAAAAGACAGAAAGAAAGAAACAGAATTTACGCGTCGGGTATTAAGATAGATTACGTCCATTGCAAGTGTAGTGATTGAACGAACTTCTTCTGTATTCAGAGTTCAGGACTTAGCAAATGAATTGCCATTGCTTCTGCAGTCTGAAGAAGTCTGGCTCGTACACTTTTAGAGGAAGACTACTTCGTATTCTGTAGACGACTTTTAAGTTTGTTTGGGGGGGGGTGTAGCTTGGTGTCCGGAATCTATCAGATGTTCTAAGATAGAGTTGCGGGGCTCATCGTTTTCCTCCTTCGTAAAACCATGCTGGTAAGTGTTCGATGGATATGCTTGGATAGCGAACGCTGGATACGGCCGACATACCTGGCTCCACACGCGCAGATGGATTGGTAGATACACATTGATGAGACTAGCAGTGGTAGCGTATCCTTCACGTTCACACGAATCATAGGTTTCGTGGAGAAGGTTAATCGTAGTTCAAATCTTCACAAATCAAATATTGTAGTTATATGATATCAGCTGTGAATAGGAATCAGTAAATTGAGTAAAGAAGTCTTTATTTTTCTGGTTAGGTTCTTGGTAGAAACTCTACACTAATTGTCTTTTCTTTTTGTTTATTCCTTTACGTTCCGAGTGTAGTGTAGAGCTTCATGCTTGAGCTTTGAAGTTGCAGTAGCGATGATGATTTCTACGGTGTGAGGTTACTAGCCTCATGCCCAGCCTTCTCTGTTTATCGGGCGCACTACCTACTGAGTGAAGGTTTAGATGTGTGTGCGTTGGCTGGGAATCGAACCCCGGACCATGTAAGTGGTCAGCGAGCGTTCTACCTCTGAACCACCAACTCACAAGAGGGAGCAGTTAGGCAGTAGAGAATTAAAACGTTATTTGTATGGTGAAGAATAAGGACGGACAAGCCATTGAACTATTATTATTATTAGTAGTATTGATTAACTGATGAATGTGTTATATACTGATCGATCAAGGGTTACGTCCATTGGTACATCTACGATGAAATTAAACATAACTCGAGACATTGGGCATCCCTAAAGGAAGCCACTAATTGTCATCATGAGCTGATGAAATCCTCCAACCAATCAAACAAGATCCCTACAAACCAATACTCGAAAAATTATTCTGATGCTCACTAGTGACTGGCTGTATTCAGACAGTTACCTGAGCTGGTTCTAGTGGGAAGCCGTGACCAGTAGGGTACAGCAGGTCGAAGGTGAGGACAGTTACTTCATTGAAGAAGATATTGCGAAGTGGTTGCACTGCGTCATGAATTGGCAGGAGTTAAGATTCATTGGTCGGCCATTGGATTGGGTTCCAGTGGCTCAATGGTCTACGAGTCCGCTATCCTTGTAACCGGAAGATCCTGGGTTCGAATCGCAGTGGGGTGGGTGCATACTCATGACAAATCGCAAACTAGGATGAAACAGCTGGTTGTTCAGTGCTCCCAGCTGGTTTTCCAATGGTTTTCTAAACGATTTCAACTCATGATGAAATCCTCCAACCAATCAAACAAAATCCTTACAAACCACTACTTGAAGAGTTAATTGGTGGATGGTGACTACCAATGGAATCCACTAGGATGCACATTTCGTCCTATTTGGAACTCGTCACTGGTGGTACCTGCATTCACCAGTGAATCAGTGATGGTGTTCCCACCGAGTCTCGAACCCACTGCTCATAGTTTCACACGCCAAGGCGTTATCCACTAAACCGATTGGGTCACGAGAGCCACCTCTTGTGCGATGGGTATTATTAATTATTCGATTCAACTTTAGATTTGCGCGTCGATTGATTGGACCGAAGTGCTCGGTCTCAGGTTGACATGTCAGCTTCTTGTTCACATGCCTCGACGATATCAGGACGAAATGCACAAGAAGCCGCCATGTCAGCCTGAGACCGAGCACTACTTGAAGAGTGTTGAATACCCCTAAGTATGATTATTTCCTGGATCTTGTCAAAGGATGAAGATATGACCAGTGCACCCTTGGTTGCGCCTAAATCTCATCTGATTTTCGCAGATCTGTTTCTATGCAGGATTATGGAATCTAGAATTTTAGATCCTATTTTAGTTGTACTAGTCCGCCTATGGTGATTATCACAGGAAGGCTTGTCTTCCTTTTTACAAACCGAGGGACAGTCAGTGATTTGCACCAGTCCAACGGGGCTATTTCAGATTCTCCCCCACAATACCTATTATATTAGTGAATCATTTGCCGTCACCATCTTTTAACATCTCTGAAGTCATACCATCAGGTCCTACTGCTTCACGTAGTTTTCGCATTTAGTTAATTGTAAATTTCACCTTAATACTGACTTAGTATTATTATTATTATTTTCAATAAGGACTTTTGTTCTCACAGTAATTTTTTGTTAATATTTTCCCCCGTTACAATGTGTGTTGCATCAGATGAACCTCGTGTGATTGTCATGAAAGATCGCCTGGGAGACGGAAGTACAGACAGTCTAGGCTTGTCCACCGCAAATGTAACAAGCAGTCTGTCCGTCAAACGAAGCGGAATGCAACTTGGTGGTCAAAGTGGTACAAAAAATGTCGATCAATTTGTGGATCGTTTAATGGCTGAAGGTGAAGTAGTCAGTGAGGATGTCATGAAAATGGTTAGTGGAACAGGTGGAGTTCACAACACAGCTAGTAGTCTAAGTTCTACAATATCTCAAAAATCTAATGTGAAAAAAGAAGAGTGAGTCTATATGTTTTATTTCTAACATTTATGCTAGTTTTATAATTGTAGAGTTCAATCTACACTTGTGTAGGTTCTTCTCTATTCGTGTCCGTTTTGCCTGGAACATGAGACGAATTTAAGCCTGAAGTTCCAGTGATGGTGGTGCTGTTGTTTTTAAAAGGTGGAGTTTCTGGCTCCACACCCGAACTTTCCTCTTTTCCGGACTAAGCGAGATTTGGGAGTTCGTCGGCCGGGAATCACACGCACACCTCCCTTGTGCCTAGTGAGCATTCTACTGTTTTCATGGTTGAACCAATATGTGTGTAAAACGTGGGCAGTGTAGTCGTTTAAAAAAATTGTTATGGATTTCATTAACTGATGAAGCCATATTTTGGTTTGACCCCCACTAACTCTTTTCCAACCTGATCCATCCTATTGCAGCTAACATTGCCCGTTGTCGAGGAAAGTGATGGCTAGGGATGCATGCGTAACACATGTCATAAACATCTCAGTCGGTGTAACTTCACAACGTCGTCGAGTGATCTCCCCTTTCACCTACGTAGCACTCAACGGAAACCTAGCCTCAATATTGCTCACCTTACTATACCACTTAACACGGGAGATGAAACGCAGGCACCCATGATCAAAGACAACTAGGTAGCCTTTTCATATCTTCCACTTTCGATGGCCATGTCCCACTCATAACCATAAAGGAAGACGGAACGAACTGCTAGGATGTACACACATCCTTTGATTGGTAGCCGGATATCACGTCTACGCCAGAAATGCCTCTTAGCCAGCAAGCGTTACACTTGCTGTGTAAGGTAACATTTTATTGCAAGAAGGTCGAGTGACCAGTTTTTCGAACGATACCATAAAGTCATTTAATTTCTGACTGTTGGGATATGTAAGAAAGGTAAGAGGTTTTGGTCTATAGACAATCCAAATATACACAGTTCAAGACTCTTGATTGCATATCTCATACTAGCTTCGAATGGTTTGTGTCGATAGCTTAATGTTGTTTAGTTGGCAGTCGTGTTCTTAGTGTCTTAGTTTTGATGAACAATCTATGAACTATTCATGGCATTCTACTCGAACTCAAGAAGCCGTATTAGTTATCCATTGAAGTGATCACAATCAGTGGTGTCCGTTAGGGATGCCCCATTTCTGTGTAATTTCATCATAGATGTACTACTGGAATTGATTCCAATTGACTTTATTGATTTAGAGATTGACTTGTTACTCGGAAACAATCTCGTATGATGATGATGTTTTCCTCTTTGGTGAAGACACTGATAGAATTCAGAGTCTGTTGAAATACGTTCATCAAAAATCTTTGAATATTTTGTATGCGATTCTCTCGTGTCAAATGTTAGGTGATTCTGCAGCACTGGACTACACTGACTCTTAGCTTACGGATAAGCAGTGATGTGGTACAGCGTGTTGACCATTTGACTTATTTCGAGAGTTGCATCAGCCCTAATGGACCACTAGCTGACAAAATCTTAGCTTGGTCATAAAAGGCTCGTGGGGCGTTAGTTAATCTGCGTCATCTGCAGCGTAGAACTGATGTCCGGTTATTGACCAAAGCAGTTCGCTCTGTCCTCTTCTATAGCTGTGAGATATGATGGATGTTTACGTTCTATCACCCGTGTTAAATGGTATAATATGACAAATAATATTGAGGGTAGAAATAGGGTGTTAAGTGAAAAGGGGTAAGGCAATCGATGAGGTTGTGAAAGTGAATCGATTGAAATGGCTAGGACACGTTTAGCTCAGGCCAAGCCATCACCCTCCTCGTTAAACGGTTGGAAAAGGGCTAGAAGTCTTTAAATTGAAACCTGTTGTCAATGCATGAAGTCTGACAGTGGGTTTGAGCCACGTAGGGAAGTGTAAAGTGCATGCATGGTTGGTGTCCTCGCAATTCTAAGAACCAAAAGCCTAAGACTTTTAAGAATATGGCTGAAAATGGTTGTCAGTGGTGCAGATGCTTTCACTCTTTGTAATCTACCAGATCCAAGAAGTCTTTGTTATTTTCCACGTAACTGTTGTTCTTCCTATATGTTTCTGTTTATATTGTCGTTCTTTTGAATTTTTTTTCTTATTTGTGGAAATTTCTCATTTTCCCCTACGTCTCTGTGATACTTTGGGTGCGTTGGTGGTTCAGCGGTAGAATGCTCACCAGCCATATACCTCACGTGGTTCGGGGTTCGATCCCCGGCCGATGCACTCACAGACTTCGCTCAGCCGGTAGCAAGGCTAGTAAAGAGAGAAGAGACCAGCAACCCCATCCTGTAAAAATAGAACTACTGCTACTGAATCTTCAAAACTGTGCCTTAAAGTTCCCTATGTTCCACTTGGAACCTAAAGGAATAAAATAAAATAAAAATATAAATTGTGTGCTTCATTAAGCGTGTCCTCCTTTATGGCAGTGAGACCCTTGATCATCGAAAGTGGAAGACATAAAAAGGTTAGCTTCCTTTGATCATAGGTGCCTGAGTTTTATCTCCCATATTAGGTGGTATGATAGGGTGACTAACATTGAGTTGGTTAGGCTTTGAGTGTTAGTTAAGGAGAGAAAATCAATTGACGAGGTTGTGAAGTGACATAGATTGAGAGAGATGATTAAGACATGCGTTACACATGCCTAGCGTAGCCATCGCCTTCCTCGATGATGGGAAATGTTAGCTGACATAGGATGGATCAGGTTGTTGGAGAAGAGCTTGCACATGATGGTCAAGCCAAAACATGGCTTCATCAGTTTAAGTCATCGAGGGAGGTGTAGACTTCCTGACTGGCTGGTTGGGGTCCTCGGGACGGTAAAAACCAAAGAATGCTGGAGACAATTGGTGATATGGTTCAAAATCGTCGTTGTCAATGGCTGGCGCAGATGCATCCACTCCTTGTGACTTATAATACCCGATAAAACTATATGGTTCTTCGATATTACAATTCTTTTTACCTCATATCTCTGTTTTGCATTTGTTTTCGCTTTTTGTCTTGCTCTATGAGCGAAGTGAAGTGTGGCGACTCGAATTTCTGCACATCGGTGCAAAGTTTTATGTTGAAACCAGTCAGTCAGTGAGTCAGTCATGGAGTGTGACAACCTGTACACCTTGATTTCCGTGCAAAGGTCGACGTGGAAACTCAATCAGTGTCAGCTAGTCAGACCATTGTATTCTTTGCTGTAACAATATATACATTACCCGATCAACTTTCTTCAATTGATTCTCATTGCTCATTTTGTTTGTTCTCTTTTTCGCTTTCTCCATAGTTTACATTTACGTATTGATGAAAAGTTAATTATACAAGCAGGTCGTGATGGTGGTTTAGAAAGTATGGAATTACAAGGGACAATGTTTGCACAAGCTAATACAAATGAAGTGTGTACAGCTAAAATTAGAGTAGATACAAGTCTGTGTACAAATCCTACCAATGAACATCGACCACCTGTACAACTACAAACACATCCAAATATTGATAAAAAAGTTTTCATGGTAAGTTAGTCATCACTTCATGTATTTGATTTAATAACCAAGCTGTCGTCGTCCACCATCGCTTCAACTCAGGTTTTAGTATGAAATGAACTCATTTTGAATTCTCCATGAATGATGATATAATTATGTCTTCTGGCAACCATTGTCGTAACTATCGATCAGAGCTCTGATATATAACCATCCTCCTCTCCTCCCCTTGATTAGCTTCCAGGTAGGTGTTCGTTGAGAGTCATTCCTTGTTTTGTCTCTTCTTGCTTTCTAGGACAGTTGTACACGTTTACTTGAAAATCACCTTCAGAGAGGTAGTTCCAAGGTTCTTCCACGCAGGTTTCCTCATTGACGCCACGTTGTGTCTCCAACTTTGTTCTGGTCTGATCTGTAGTGAAGGCATCCCTTGTAGTTTTGTCTTTCAGTTTCTGAATGTTGAACTTGAATTCTGGTCTGTATCCATTTGTTTTCATGGATTTCAGCTTCACTTTGAAGGTTCTTTGAACTAGATGATGGCATGAACCCACGTCTGCTCCCCTTCTCGACTTTGTGTCTAGCAGGCTGCGTCTCCAGTTCCTTGAGATTGAGATGAAATCCATGTGATTTATGGTGTGTCCGTCAGGCTAAATCCATGTTGCCTTGCGTATATCCTTGTGCTTGTACACGCTGCTTCCAAACATCAAATTGTTGAAGGTGGAGAAGTCTGCGAATAATTCTCCGTTCTCATTTATTACTCCGACAGTCTCTCGACACATGATGAGTTCTCTTCCCTTGTTGTCTGCTCCCAGTTTGGCACTCATGTCATCCATAAGGATTTGGATGTCGCCACTCGGGGTTTTGTCCATTACTGTGTAATTGTCGGTAGAAATCTTCCTAAACCTGGTGCCGCGTTGTTTGTAGGTGCGTAGCACTTTACAATTGTAACCTTCCTTTTGAGTTGAATCCTGCTGTCATAATCTTGGAGTAGATTGGTTTCCACTGCATTAGGGCTTTGGCTACCACTAGTGATATCATGATAGCCACTCATTGCCTCAGTGTGCTCGTGGTTGTCGTGTCGGTGACCGGAGTAGATTACTGACTCGCCACTTGACAATTTTGATAATCCACATCCATTCTATCTGCTCTCGCAGATACACAACACTTGTATGCCATATCTTCGCATTTCTTTGGTTACCTGGGAAGCCTCCTCAGCCAGCCTCGTACATTGTACAAACATTCCACGTCCCCATTCTTATTCTTGCTTTCATCGAAAAAAGACACACATCGGCTTGTTGACTGGCTTCCCAATGACTTTAACTAGCCCGCTGTGTCATTTTGCCTCTCCGATTCCAGCTAAGAATAAGTTTGTTTTTTCTATATATTTTTTTGTATTTTTAATATTTCCCTTGTGCGTTAAAGTTTCCGTAGCAGTTTGATTGATTTTGTGGTTTAGGGTTGCTAGCCCCACACCCAACCTTCCTTTTTTCATGGGCTTGGGACCGGCTACTAAATTAGGCGAGGTTCTCCTACATTCTGTGTTAGAGATTTTTGTTAAGGATATTATGGCTTACATATTATTGTTTTCTGTTTTGTTTATTTGTTGTGCCTTCACAGTCCACTGGTTGGATTCAAATCAAATCCGGCGGTAAACCATTACCCACTGGTCAAGAAGTTGGTATTTTAAGATGGCGTTTCCAGACACAAGATGAAAGTGCTCTTCCGATAACAGGTAAGATGGTGAGACGATAACACTGATGTTATTTGTTCTGGTTTGTCTTGTTTTTTAATGCATAGTGGTAGTCCGATTCTCATGTTGAGTGGGTTGTGTGGGGGAAATTGGAGTCATAAAGTCAGTTGTGTTATGCCTCTCCTCTGACCTGAATGATTTAAGAAAGGTTTATCACAAAATTTGTATTTCCAAACTTACTCTACTGGGGGTAGAGTTTTTGGCGCATATGAAAATTCCACAAACTCCATGTTGTTGTCTGTCTGTCTGTCAGGAAAGCTTCGTGTGCTCTTGGAAGTGTGTGGGCGGTTGTTACTTACCGGCTGCCCACACCGTGTAAGTTGATTGGTTCTTCAGGTACCTGAAACAGAGAGAGGGTTAGTGTTGCGTGACCGCAGAGCCCAGGGGACAACTGCTTGAGGGCGGTCACACATGGCCTGTATGAACTGATTTCTGGGATTTTTTCCGTATTAGTAAACTTACCGCCTGTTACGGGCCACCGTAGGGTAAGTCGGGATGTACAATTTTCAGAGTCGACCTTTTCTAACCCCCTCTCTCTGGAGTGAAGAGACAGCATAGCTGGCATGCTAGTCATCTGAGGGAAACACCTCACTGCTGTTACACCCCTGTTCCCCAGCAGTACGACTTCGCCCTCAGACCCCCAGCATAGTGTAGGAAAGATTCTTACACAATGCCGGTAACTGCTTTTAGTCTAATCGCTATCTTAACAACCTTCCTGGTGTGGTAGGACCTGCAGGAACATTGGTTCCAGCCAGTGCAGCTTGTTGGGTCATCGCAATGTGTTGTCGTACCATTCTCTGGCTGAATGGGTCTCTGTGAAGAAGAAGAAGAAAATATCACGATATCCGTTAGTTATTTTCTCTATAATGTCAGCTTAGTCACCCACTGATTGTAGCTCGACGAAGCAATTAAGGGAAACCCACGAAGCATATTTCTGTTTTCCTTCACCTGAAGTAGTCAGCATTTGATTCCGTTGGTTTAGAGGTGCTCTCTGGTAACGTCTACTTGTAAAATGAGTACTGAGAAAGTGTATTGTACCACTCTCCGATCATATGTTAGTGTGTGCCAAGCTCGTCTTGTGATTTGGTGGGGTTCATAAACGGCATCATATGAATGTTAATGTGAGCAAACTCGTAGCACCTGCTACCTTTTTGAAGTATCAGACTGAGTTAAAACCAATGCTTTCTAGCACACACACACACACCCGAAGAAGTATAGATGAACATTGGCTTCATCTGCAAGGTGCCATGCAAATGGCAACTGTAGCAGCTTGCAGCTTAAGAAAATGTTCTACTAAAAAACCAGTGGGTTTCTGCGAGTTCCTTGCAACTCCTGAATGAACATCGGTCCATTCCGACTGGCAGCAAATACAATAATATGCGAAAGGCGCTTACGCGCAAGGTTAGACGGTGTTTGCGTAAAGACCGCGAAGCCTGATGGTCAGAACGTGCGTGTCAAATGGAGTCAGCTGCTGCATCTGGCAACAGCCGGAAGTTGTTCCAGCTCATCCGAGCCACTGGCGGCAAGAAACAAGGTGTTAGCAAGACGGTCTGTGAGGCAGATGACACACCAATTACCAGCCTGAAAAGACGCCTGGAATGCTGGACAGAGCACTTCGAGAAGCAGTTTAGCTGACCACCAGTTCAAGTTGTCCTTGGTCGGTCAGTACCGACCCACCAATCGAAGCGGAGGTCCGGAAGGAACTACAAGTACTGAAACGCCATAAGACACCCGGCCCAGACATTTTATCCCTTGCTCTTTTTAAAGATGGTGGCGAGACTCTCGCCATGGCTTCAACTGGATTATTCAAGAAGGCATGCTAGATTGAAGATGCACCATCAATGTGGAATGAAGCCATTATCGTCCTATCTTTAAAAACGGTCGATTTAACACATGTGACAACTATAGGGGTATCAGTTCCTGGTTAGAGTCGAAAAGATAACTCGAATTGGTGGCTCGAAACATCATTAGATATGGCCAAGAATCCCAATCAATGGAGGACGTGCTGCAATTCCCTTCTTTTTTGCTTTTCCGACAATAATTAACGGATTCTGTTTGAACTTGTTAAATATGACTTTTCCTCCCAGATGAAGTTCTTTATCCGTTCTCAACCTATATTTTTATTTTTAATCTATGTTGTTTTATTATTATTGTGTTGTGCATCTTCTTGGTACCATATTGTACCAAGTTTTTCTGCGTTTAAATAAATACTATAAAATAAAATCGTACCACTCCACTCGAGCTCATACAGATATGTAGGAGTTCTTATGGAGAGTTGTCGTCTGAGGTGAAAAAAACCGGTGGTGATCGTTGTCCACTGTCTGATTTTACTGTGCTTTTTGTGAACATTCTTTTATGAGAGAGATGTTCAGCAAAGACAACTAACTATCTTTTCGGCGATTTCATTCTCAAAAGCAGCTGTATAATCACATTTGTCTGCATAAGTTTACACAGATCAAATTGTTATTTAATTTTGGCGTAATAGCGAAGAAGATTAAAGGTGCTAATAACTGTCAGCTTGATATAACAGTTTGAAGGTGATGAATACAGATTACAAGGGGCTTAAAAACAAAATTATACAGGATACGGAAATAGTGTTTTTTTTTAAATTCTAACGAATGCAAGTGTAAATGCGATGAGCATGGAAACAAATTGAAATAATTCTACTTTATAACTGAAAATCAAATCGGTCGGTCGGTTTTCGACATAGAACTTTGCACATATGTGCGGCAGTTCAAGTCGCCACACTCCCTCCACGTAGCACACAAAGCAAGAGAAGAAAGTAAAAAGGAATGCATAGTAGAGACAGTAGACAGGGATATGTGACAAAAGGAATAGTAATATCGAAGAACAAAACAGTTTAATTGGATATTATAAGTCACAAGGAGTGGATACATCTGCACCAGCCACTGAGAACGATTTTGAGCCATGTCACCAATTTTTTCCAACTATTGGTTTTTACCGTCCCGAGGACCCCAACCAGGAAGTCTACATCTTCCTACGTGGCTTAGACTAACTTTTGTGGATTTCATTGACTGGTCCCGTGTTTTGGTTTGACCGCCGCTAGCTCTTTTCCAGCTAACATTGCCCGTCGAGGAAGGCGATGACTAGGCATACGTAACACATGTCCTAACCATCTCAGTTGATGTAATTTCACAGTCTCGTCGACTGATTTCCCTCCTTACCTAGCACTCGACTGATGCCTAACCTCAATATTGCTCACCTTATTATACCACTTCACACGGGAGATGGAACTCAGACACCTATGATCGAAGACAGCTAATCTTTTTATGTCTTCTGCTCTCAATGGCCAGGTCTCACAGCCATAGAGGAGGACGGAGCGGACTGTTGAGCAGTACACACACCCTTTGGTCGATATGGAATAAAATGAAGGGGATGAAAAAAAGAAACAAGGAGACAAACCGAACTAGATCCATGGTAAATGTAGAGGTTGGACTAATTTCTTATGATGAACACATAGTTCCGGCTTTTCGATGCATATAACAAGGTCTTCTGCTAGTACAAAGAAGTTGAAAACACATTGCCTTTTGTAAGCGTCAGATTAATTGTCAACCGTTCTAGTAGGAAGTGGTAACCGAGCGGAGTTCACCAAGTCAATCAAGAGAACAGTTACTCATCAGTGACACTGACTGGCGGTTGCGCTAAATTATATATCACGAATTGGCAGAAATTGGAATTCATGAACCGCTGGGTTGGGTCTCAATGGTTTGATGATCTACAAATTCACCTCGTTCGTGAAGGACCCTGGGTTCGAACCCTGGTGGGGGCGTACTGTTGAAGAGTTCCGAATTAGGACGAAACAGCCAGCTGGTTTCTCAATGGTTCTCTAACCGATGTTTAATTGTTTATTGTGTTATTACAAAGTCTAATGCGCACTATCCTACACTAATAATAATAATAATTGTTATTTTTCATAAAAATGATTTTAGTCAACTGTTGGCCAAATGAAATACCTGGTGGTTTCGAGGTCAATGTAGAATATGAATTACAGGATACAGAATTACAATTAGAGAATTTAGTGATGTCTATACCACTGCCGTAAGTAGTTTGTTTTTGTAAAATCCCTTTATTATTTTTTACTATATTATTATTATTAGTTAACTCACTAACCACACATGTGGTCCGGGGTTCGACCCCTGGCCGACGCAGTCCTAAACTTCGCTTAACCAGTAGTAAGTCCGGTAAAGGTGGAAGGTTGGGTGCTGCAAGGCTAGAAACCCTAGGGCGTAAAAAATAAACACCACTGCTACACTGAAGCTTCATAACTCAAGCTCAGGATGGAAAGGAACAAATATCTGTTACAGTTCATACAATTTATTTTATAAATAAAATAAATTGCCTGAACTGCGATAAACATTACATTGGTCAACAAATTGGGTGCCCCCTTCGAATCAGAATCCAGGAACACAAATTGTATTCCAGTTTCGTATCAATGCATTCAAATAATTACGGATACCGATTTTGATTGCGATAATGTAGACATTGTAATTAGAGGAAACACCAGAAAATAATGCCAAGGAATTCTTTTACGCTTGGTACTCAGATGAACCAGACACCAAATTTTACTCGCTAATAGAAAATAACCCCCCCACACACGACAAGAAAGTTCAAATTTCGAGACAGTAAAAATATGATCAACAGAAACGTAAATTAACAACCGGTCACGACAATAGTTGCCAGGAGATACAAGTGTTTCCTACCAAAACCTGCACTGAAGTGATGTTGTCTAAAAAAAAGACGACGGAAGCTTCACAAATAAATCAACTAACAGCTACCTTAGTGAAAGGAAATCATCCATCTGAGCTACAAATCTCCATTATGTCAATAATAATCTCTTTCTCTCTTGTTTATTTCCCTTCCATTAGCCCTTCGTCTAAACCACCATTGGTTGGTAATTGTGACGGTGAATATGAATTAAATCCTCGTAATAAAAATCAACTGGATTGGTCTATCCCATTAGTCAATGCTGACAATTCATCGGGGTCACTTGAATTCACCTTGAAAACAGAACGTGGTTGTCAAGCCGAGCAATTTTTCCCATTGAAGTTAGACTTTAAATCAAATAAACCATATTGTGGAATTCAGGTAATATATATTATCATATTCTATGTGTACGTCAGTGGTGTTCAGTGGTAGAGAATGCTCGTCAACCACCACACCCCTTCCCTCGTGGTCCGGGGTTCGATCCCCAGCTGATGCACTTGTAAACCTCGCTCGCTAAGCCGATTGTAAGGTGGACCGGCTAAGAGGGGAGGTTGTGAGGCGTGGGAGGCAAGCAGTCCTATCGCGTAAAATTTTTTTAAAGAAATCCCACTAATACCGAAACCTTAAGGCTCTAGCTTGAAGCCCTGTGTTCCGCGCGGAACTCAAGGGAATGAAATAATAATAATAAGGATAATAATATACACATATGTAATGGGCATTTTACTTATTAAGATTAGTTGTTTATAGTCACTTGACTATCGACCGATTGGGACACACAACTGCGAACTGAACTCCACTATGCATAAAAATTTTATTTTAATAAAATCATACACAGTGGTTGTATACAGTAATACATTTATTGATGACCACATTTAGAGCACAATATTTATTACTGCAGCGCATAATCATATCAAGGCACTACTCACACAACTTTCTTGCTTCGTTGTTTGTATACATGAGTAAAAATTGATGATTAAACATTTGAATAAAATCCACCAATGTAAGATAAAGTGCATTCAAGAAATAATATTATTAGTGTTATCAATAAAATACAATCAGATGGGAAATAAAATGCCTTACGTAGGATCTTCAATAAAGCAGGAATTAGGGTGGCATTCAAACCCTCCCACAAACTCATTCAGGTAGGACAAGCTCTGTCGGCTAAAGGACCCTGTTGGTGGACCCAATTAAACAAAATAATATGATTTACAGAATACTTTGCAATGACTGTCAGTGAGGTCAACTACATAGGTCAGTTAAACTAGTAGGTCGGGTGAGAGTAGTGAGATTGTCGGAACATAAGAATTTAGCTAAAGTGAGCATGATTCATCCCACGAAGATAAGTAATTTTAGAAAAAAAACAGCATTCGCACAATAGCGTGGGACACAGTCGAAATTCTAAAATGTAATGTAGGTAGGTGGAAAGCGAGAGAGGTTGATTACTGAATTCTGGTTCATTGAGTCTACAACACCCAACACATGCAATAGAAGTGATTCAATGGAAATACCCGAGATATGTATGGAAGATATTATTACCACCAGTCAAATCAGAGGAGGATAATAAATAATGTTAAAATGTATTTCAATTCAATTCACATTATAACATTCTAACAATTTCTTTATTTATTTTACCATAAAAACATACAATATAGATGATTAGTCGGATACTTAGTGATTTGGGCAAATTACTTTTCGCCTTGCAGATGAAGCTGTGGAGATAGGGTGATCATTATCGACCAGATGTTCAATGATCACACTTCTTATCGCTCCACTTCTACCTATTCATGACCATGCAGGATAGTGTTCTTGCACCCTCCTGAACAAAACTGGAGTCGAACGATCGATATACCTAGCTCCACACGAGTAGGTGAATTGATAAACGCACATAGAGATGATCTACTGACGGATCTTGTCCTTCAGGTTATTGAAAACCCATATGTGTACGATTGTACAGCTTGATAATGAATTCGCTGAGGGGGGAAGTCTCTTCACTGAATCACTTTTGATTCTCCATATGTCCCAATGGGAATTTTTCACGACTATATATATATATATATATATATATATATATATATATATATATAAAGCAAGTTACCAGGCTGTATTGATACATTGATGCAATCATGGGCAGTAATAAAAATTAGAATTTAACTGATGGATGGCGACTAGCAGTGGAATCCACTAGGATGCGTATTTCATCCTATTTGGGAATTGTCAGTTGGATATACCTGCATTCCCCAGTAAGTGCGTGATGATGTTCCCACCGAGGCTCGAATCCAGTGCCCATAGTTTCAAACGCCAAAGTGTTATCCACCAGACCACTTGGGCCACGAGAGCCACTGGTTCTTGTGCAGCGGGTCATATTAGTTATTTACTTGAATTTTAGATTTTCCCGTCTATTGATTGGGCCGAAGTGCTCGATCTCAGGTACATCCAGATAACGAGACCCAAATAGGACGAAATGCGCATCCTAGTGGATTCCACTGCTAGTCACCATCCACCAGTTAAATTCTAACTACATGCCCAGACACCGTCGAAGCATCTCTGCATAAGAAGCCGACATATGTCAACCTGAGATGGAGCACTTCGGTCCAATCAATCAGTAGACGGGAAAATCTAAAATTCAATTAAATAAGTAATAAAGATTGTTCTCGAAACATTGTCATTCAGTTGTCAAATGCTACTGTATCACTCATCGTGTGTGTGTGTGTGTGACTGTGTGTATGAGTTATATCAACTGAACTTATCTTCTGTATTCCTTCCTTTTCTCTACATACGTACATACATAGATCATGGAGGCAACTGTAGGCAATCAGGATGCACCGATCGATTTCTCGTGTGAATCAAATTTCTACACTGAAAAATACGAAATCAGTTGAGTGTGATATATGAGAAGATCAAGTCGGTTTTTTCCACTGACTGGCTGGCTGGCCGAGTGACTGACTGACTGAATGACTAACTTTCTTCCTTTGTATTTTGTGTGTGTGTATGTGTAATTATCTGTGATGATTTCAAAAGAAAGGGAAAACTGTACACTCTTGGTTTTTCTTTTCTTCTCTTTATTTTCTTTTGTTGCTCGTGGTATCTCCACCACCGCGCATCGCTTTTTTCTATTGTCTTATTGCTTCTTTGTATGGTTTTAGCTAATTGAGTAATAAATAATAGTAATAATAATAATAACAATAATAATAATAATATGCACCTGATGATGACCTCTTGTTATTGATTTTTTTTGTCCATTCTGTCCGGTATACATTCATCTCTACGTTTTAAGCTGGTTAGATAAAAATATAAGAGCTGAATGAGAAGGAATGGTGTACAGCGTTTTGTCTTTGAATAGTTGATAAATAAGACACACATGAATGAATAGTAATCAGGCTGTTATTATTATTATTAATAATCATGAATAATCTGTTTTCAACATAGAACTTTGCGCCGATGTGCAGCAGTTCAAGTCGCCACACTGCCTTCATCTAGCAAACAAACCAAGAGAAGAAAGTAGAAGAAATGCGTAATAGAGACAGTAGACAGAGATATGAGACAAAAGGAATAGTAATAAGGAAGAACAATGTAGTTTCATTAGATATCATAAGTCACAAGGAGTGGATACATCTGCACCAGCCACTGAGAACGATTTTCAGCCATCTCACCAACTGTCTCCAGCCTTCTTTGGTTTTTACCGTCCCGAGGACCCGAACCAGTCAGGAAGTCTTCACCTTCCTACGTGACTAGCTTAAACTAACTGTTATGAATTTCATTGACTGGTACCATGTCATATGCCGCATTCCAACTAGGTTTAACTTCACCTTAAGAGCTCGTCTACTACATATTGCTGAGGCTGTTGGGATCCACATTAAGAAACCTAACTTATGTATGTATCCAATAGAAGAAGTTGGATCAGACACTATGCTTACCTTGGCCATCAGGGTCTCAATGATTCTCAATTTGTTGTAGAAATTGACTTAATTTTATTCGATATTCTATTTGCTATTACATTTTTATGCTTATCATTATAATTTATGTATCGTTCGTGAATTGTGGTAATTCCATTGAGACCTTACTTAACAAAATCGATAGTATTTAAAAACACCAATATTGTTAATGACAAGTATTCTATGTGTATAAACATATACATATATAATTGTAGAGCCAGAAAAGGAAATTATCGAAAAGGATGTTCTTTGCTCAATTATTTTGCTTTTTCTAGATGTCTGAATGAATAGTTTCCCTATCAAAATGGGATAAAGTACATCCGGAAATAATATGTGTTATTAATAAAATACAATAAGATAATAAAGGTTTTTGTATTTCCCAATGAATGAAAAACAAAACGATTTGTTGCTTTTACTGACGTTTCGCTATTTAATGCAGCTAATAGCTTTATCAAAGTATTATTATAAATTGCAATAAGATGTCTCAACAGTTTTTTATTCATTTATATAAATGAAGCGAGAAGGTTGTGTCAACACCTTGATATGGTGAAGATGAGTAGTGATAAATTGTGCTCGAAATGTGGTTATCATCAGTAAATATTGCTTACTGTATAATACCACTGTGAGACTTTATCAAAATGAAATCTTATCCATAATGGAATTATACTCTACCACCAGAGTAATGCCCAGGTTTTATCCGTAAATGAAAATTTGAAGGTGTGAATATAAATTTCAAGGGGGTTCGGAACAAAATTATCCAGGATTAGACAACAGTTTTTGTTAATGACTAAAGCTGTGAATGGGATGAGCATGGGAACAAGTTGAACGAATAATATTTTAAAAACTAAAAATGAAAAAGAAAGTAGAGGAAAATGAAGGGGATGAATAAATGGGACCTGAGTAGATACACCGAACTAGATCCATGGTTAATGTAGAATTTGAATCAGTTTCTTTTGAACACAGAACTCTGGTTTTTCTATGTATATAGCGAGGGCTTCTGTTCAGCAGTAGAAAGATGTCGGAAGCACACTTCCTTTAGTTAATTTTTATTCACTTTGTAAATGACTCTGAATGATGGAGGAGTCAGTTTGTGGTGAAAGCTGTCTGAAAGCCAAAATTGTAGACAACAATTTACGTCTATGTTTACGACCCGATTCGGGGTCATGAGAAAAAAAGAATAACCAAGCTTAACCTTGAGGAACTCACCAACCAATCACAGCAGACTTAACGTGTGCAAATACGATTCGCAGATGTATGGCTTAACTTTCTAAGAAACAGCCACAGGGATATAACAGAATAACCTTCTGCAAGAAAACAACCAATCAGATGTTGCTTCCCGCTAATAATAATGCACATAAAAATCTATAAACATCTGTTGATTTTCTCAATAAACGATATGTTGCTTGGCCCTTGTCTTCTGTCGTTACAAGTTGAGATGTTGCGACGGGTGTTCAGTTAAGACACTCCTGATTGAACCAGTGCCTCTTCTTTTCATCCCTGCTGGGTATTGTTCTCTAAAACATTTTGATTGAACCCACATGCACCTTCATACTTGCATATCAAGTTGAAAATTATTATGACGCTTAATCACCTTCGTTACTACATGGAATTAAATAATAATGATAATAATTGTATCTATGTAAACTCATGTATATTATTGTGATTGTACAGCTGCTTTTGAGAATGAAATCGCCGAAAAGACAGATATCTTTGCTGATGAACTTCTTGTTCTTTCCTCTCGAATTTCATTTCTCTGTGTTGAAGACAAAGCAGAAGACTGATGATAAGGAAGATTCTTTCCGATAACCTCTTCCTCCTCATGTAACTTCCACAATTGTATATATACACACAGTATTTAAAGAATAATCGTGAATGACAACTACCGTGTAGTCAGTTAAATTGGCTGTACAATTAACCATGTTCATCAGTGAACTCATAAACGCCATCCTGCGTGTTATTAACATCCAAACCAAGTTCACCTTTAACAGTGTGAAAATAATTTGGACATTGGGTATATGATATTCATTGCTGTAAAAGTTATTTTTGTATTTCCCAATGAATAAATGAAAAACTTTAAGATATTTGCTATTTTTACTGACGTTTCACTATTTAGTGCTGCTGCTAATAGCTTTATCAAAGTATTAATAAACTGAAGTGAAATTATTGAAAAGAATATTAGCCGTCAAAATTGATGTTTTATTCATGAAATGGGAATATTTCACAAGGCCAAATAAAACTTTAAGCACCAGTAAGTACCATTGGAGTGCGATCGTACCAATGACCTTGAAACACCCAGTGATTAGGTTAGTGGAGCCTAGCAAATAATACTGTAATCATGAATAAAACATGCTTAGTGACGTGTTATGTTATTAAATGGAGTTAGGTTAACCTACTATGCGCGATATTTGGGTTAGTTTCGGAATATTTTCATGTTAGGTTTAGGTTAAGGAAAGATTAGAGCTGCTGTTAGGTTTAAAACACCTAAATAATTACATGCATGGAATGTGGTTAAATTACTCTGTTGATACTCCAATCTAAAACTGATAGACATTTTTGTTACACGTCAGAGGAAGGTACCTTGTGTAACAGTTTCATGTCTTTTAATTCATTATTTCGATTGAGTATATGCATCATATCTACATAAATAACTTTTATTATGTGTAGTAACACGATGGGTATTTTTCACTATTAGAAATGGAATTAAACGTATTGAAAAAGGTAAACAAGTCGTCATTCCTTCAACAAGCAGCTTTTCATTTATTTTACAGAAAATATTAAAACATACAAATCGTGTACACATTTTATTTTATTATAATTATCGACACGAAGATGACAGCTGCCAGTAGGACTGGTAAGACACACACACACACACGCGAAAGTATAACAGTCATCGATGCCATCTCTTTGTCTCTGTTGATTCACCTGTAACTAGAAAAAAACAAAACACATTCATGTTACTATTTTTTGTTTTTCGCGATTGTGAAGAGTTAGTTAAATTGTTCACTATTTATTGATTAAAACGCAAATATGGTACGTTATGGATGAGATGCTCTACACAAAATCTCGGTTTGGATTAGGGCTGGAGTGTTGCTTGGACGTCAAGACCAAAGTGGGTGGTTATCTTCATGGATCCCCCGTCGCCACCACCAACGAGCTTTTGACAAGTCTTATTTACAACACAGTGAATTTGTGTCAGGAGCTACATTCCCATGGTTTCGGGTAAGCAAAACGGATCGTAGGCTGTTCGTTCGTTTGGGATTCTGTACACAGAGGTTGGGTTGAAGAATCATTATGGCAACTGCCTCAGCTATGCTTAGCAGCCGAAGACGTATCAGCCTGGGCAGTTGAATTGACACTTTGTATAGAATTGTATATTATTGTTCCCTTGGGTTCCTAGTGGAACATAGGGCTTCAACTGCACGCCTCCACTTGCTTCTGTCTTCTGCTGTACTTTTCACTTGCATCCATGTTATTCCATACTGTTTCATCTCCTCCTCACACGATCTCCTCCATGTCACCCTTGGACGTCCCACTCGTCGCTTCCCTTTCGGGTTCCACTCGAGCACTAGCCTGACGCACGATGTCACCCAGTGACCTCCTCAGCGAGTGTCCAATCCATCTCCACTTTCTCCTGCATATTTGTGGAGCGATTGGTTCCTGTTTCGTTTGTTCCCATAGCTTCTTGTTGGTGATTCTGTCCGGCGGCCATCTAATCTTCAGTATGGAGCGAAGACAGTTGTTGATAAAGGTCTGCAACCTGTTGAAAAAATATTCTTGGTGACCCGCCAAGTTTCTGATCCGTAAAGCAAAATTGACTTGACGTTTGTATTGAAAATCCGAATTTTGTTGTTGGTGCTGAGTGACGAAGATTTCCAGATTGGTTTCAGGTTGAGGAATGTGTTTCTCGCCTTTCCGATTCTCGATTTGATATCCTCGTCCTTTCTTCCTGTAGTTGAGACAATGCTCCCTAGATAAGTGAAAGAAGTAACCTCTTTCAAATCCCTCCCGTTGATGTTGATTGGCGCTGTATGTCACTGTAGTTGTTGTTGTTGTTGGTTGGTTATTTTCATGACCTCCGTCTTGTCTATGTTCACCTGGAGTCCTGTCTTTGCTGCTTCTTCGACCAGTTTGTCGGTTTTTGCTTGTAAGTCTTCGACTCTGTGTGACATCAGACATAAATCATCCGCAAAATCCAGGTCTTCTAGGTTCTTCACGTCGGTCCAGGATATCCCTGTTTCCTCGTTTCCTACTGTCTGACG